AAAAAACAAAAAAAACAAACAAAAAAAAAACAGGTGTTTTGTATTGGCCTGTAGAAAAATGCACATACCAAATGGCTCACAAGAAGTGACTGTGGATAAGATGACTGCGCGCATCCCCGCAGCATTGGCATGTTGCTCCACAGGCGCAAGGGGGAGGTCGGGCTTCTCCGGTAGGGCGTCAGGGCGACATGGCATTTAGAACGTCGGACAGCACTTCTGAAAAACGAGATTGGGAGATCCCAGATGCAAAAAAGTGCAATGTTGCAAGGAGTTTTGTGATATCTAGTATTGCGTGGATCCTCCTTGTGGCTGGCTCCAAATCCATTTGGAGTTCCCCCAACAGCTCCAAAATGTCAATGCTGGATAAACGATGTTTTGATGATCCTTTCCTCGTTCATTCCAAAAATATTCATACGGAGTGAAAAAATGTGTTCTCTGTGTTTCCTTGCTTCATTTCAATTACGCATACAGACCATTTGCACCTTCTTTTGAAACGTGTTAAATAAAGAGTCAGATACCGTTAGCAAAATTGTGTTCAGATTTGATACATCACTTTGCGAGTGCTAAATTAATATATTTACATGTTCTCCTCCCACAAGACGCACTTTTGCGTGTAAATGCCCCATATTGCATATGCATTGCAGAAAAAGTTCTAAATGGATAAGAGGCGCTATTTAGCACGTTTTAAAGACCAAATCCTTTTAGCAAGCTGTTGATAGATCAGTTTGTACATTTTTTAGCGTGCGCAGTGAAATAGCTCACGTTTTTATACACACAAACCTTTGATAGATCCGGCCCTTAGATTATAATCTGTTTTATTTTTAAAAGTTTGGTTCATGTGGCAAAAATGGCCATCTAGGAATCTTAGATGGTTTACACCCATAAGTGATGAGTCAATATGTGAGCAAAACAGTGACTTTACTGTGTGTGTAGGGTTATTGTTTTATTTTTTACCACAGTGATATGCAAATAATGGTTTATTGGATATGGATAAGATGTAAAGAAAAGCACTAGAAGTTACCTAAATATAGATAGTTAAAGCTGCTCTAAAGAACTTTCAGTTTTGATCAGTTTTGGCCCCCTCCACACTGGACAAAAGCTGTATTATTTTTTGCGTCAAGGAAGACCAGTTTTCCCATGAGGCCCAGCGCATAGAATGGTAAAATCCTGATCTCCCAGTCATCTGCAGTTAGGTTTAACTACATTTCTGTTTCCAGTGGCTTTGTGAAAGACGAATAGCGATGAGGTAATTAATGTAACTCTGCTGAAAAAATGTGATACGATGATGTTAAAAATAAGGAACTCTGATTTTCTACTGTATTCATACACCGTTGCCGCCTGACCCCAATCAGCCGCCAAGTGGAGAACTTATGTTGTTTTACATCCTGTCCCTCCATGAATTGACTTTTCCTATTTATGCTATCATTAATTGAAAAAATAAACACACAAACTCAAGTCAGTTCTTTCATCTTTTTTAGGTTTTGGAAACTAATGAAATGTAATTAATTTACATAAAAGTATAATTTGTTTACAAGTAACCAAAGTAAAAAAAAAGGAGTATCTGACATTGTTAAGCATATGAAAGAGACAAGCTGATCTTTGGTCATCTTACTGTACCTACTAAACTGCTGAAAGGGGTTTTTCACACTGTTTGACTTTTCCTCCTTATTTTAATAAACACCTGTCTCAGCTCAGGAGGTGTCCCTGATTCTATTCAGCATGCTGTTGTGAGACCCCTTCGTTAAAAAAAACACATCTTGATACTAATTATTTGTTTAGCTTCAGACCTGTTTTGTATTTTTTGCTGTTTATTTACAAGTGCCTTGAGAAATTTGTTTTAAAACAAATACAAACTTTCTTCTAGAGCAACTCTGTCCTTAAGTAATTTAAATCTGGCTTTAGGTTTAGGCAATGCACTGAGTATGTACTGTTAAAAGTAAAAAATGACGTTGCCCTGCTGTCTTTGTGTTGCTGAACTTAACCTCTTCATTTTATATAGTGGGTGTTTCAAATTTTTCTGTCTCACCTTAGTCCGTTGGTACAATATTCAGGAAACTGCACTGAAACAGTTTGATTCTGTTAACACTGGTCATTTAGAGGTCCTTCTGTAAAGGTCTGTGATCTACCCTCCACGATTGCCTCTGTTTTGCACAGTGCATTAAGGCTCCATCATGGGTGTATTATTGTTCTCTCTTTATATGCTGTCACTGAGATGTATTATAGCCAGAAACAATGTAACCATTCTACTGCTATGCAGATGATCTCCTGATGTATATCCCTGTGTATCCAAGTAAAAGAGGAGCTCTTTCAACTTTAACTAACAGAATTTTAGACATTGAAACAAAGTATAATTTAATTGGTGATTTTACCCTTTCTGATTTAAATTTTCTAACTCCTAACCCTGAAGCAGTCAACTTTAACTGGAGTTTGAGATCTGGCAACATCATCAGGGCTAAGTTTTATCAGTTAGATCTTTTGACAGAGGAAAAAAACACTTCAAATGGTATAATGTGGAGCTGAAGTTGACAATGCCATTATGCACCTTCTGAAACAAATCAACTGGTTTCTGCTGCTTTATTGCTCTAGTTGCAATAAAGAAAAAAAAATCTATAATTTTATTAATCCAAATTTATGAAGTGGTTTCCATATACAGTGGTTTCCACTCACAGTATAGTAAATGGTCTTTATTATTTCTGATTTACCACAGTATGTTCTAAGATGAATATTATAGCCATTAGGTTTTTGTTTTTCTGAGCTAAATAAAAATTTATTTTGTATAAAGAAAAGCATTTCACTACTTTGGTGGCCTATGGATATAAATGTCATATATAAATATTTAAACATGTTTTGATCATTAATATTCACTAAACAAAAGTAAAAAAAAATTTGAAAATTCTTAAAGTTTGCTTTAGAAATATATATGTTTTTTTTACTACCATATATTAATTTTCATTTGAACCCAAATCTTACATAATGTCTATATCTTTTATATAATTTTTTATTGTAGAAGTTATTTTGGTGATGAAATAAGTTAAGTCTATGTTTTCAGGTCAGGCTTACAGGAAGTGTGATGCCAATGGATCCTGGGTGTTTGTGGAGCAGTGGAACAAAACATGGACCAACTACTCAGAGTGTCTACGGTTCCTTCATCCCCTTAGTGATGAGGAAGCAAGAGTAAGTATTACTATGAAATATAAACAAAGAAAGGATTTCTGTTTATGCTGTTACACTAAATCTTATTTATATTTAGTATGAAACACAAATTAAAAGTTGTGTGTGAAGGAACCATGTGGTAGCCTAAAGAAGGCTGCGTTCAATTTTTTTCCAGCTCTGATGTGATTTTTTGCCATGTCATTCTGACTGCATAGAGGCTCTGCGTAGTGGCACTATGGGCTGTTTTTTTATATGGCGGATGTGTTGTGTAATATATGTTCTCGGATAGGTTCATCTGGGGATTGCCTGGGGCCGAAATTACGTGGAATCTCCTCTGGAATTCAGATATTTTATTTTATTTTCCCCAAAGGTGTATTGTGTTTTAGTTTGAAACTGCATCTCTCTTCAGACCCATCAAATTGCTGCTTAATTGCTGCATACTCTGAAAAAAAGTAGAGCTGGGTTCTGTCTCGATTCCCGTTCCAGCAATTCTTGTTGTGTGTGTTTATCCCCATTCTCAGACTGACGCAAAAATCTTTCTTTCTTGATACAGTGAACTGTTTTTACTCATCTCTGAGTTAAAATCTTTCAATCCTTCACCACAGATAGCAAATAAGTTCAGAGTTTAGATGTAAATCCTCACTTTTATGTTTCCCTTGTATTCTCTTTTAGGAGAAAATAATCCATACAAATGCTTCTTTCTCTCTCTGAAATTAAGTACCTAGTATGAAAGAAACAAATCAATTGTTCTCAGAAGCATATGAAAATTATGCTCTAATCAAAACTGATGAGGCAAAAGACATAATCACAAAGACACCAGTAAACAGGCATCATGGCTTGTTTATTCATCAAACCTTGATGATCTGTGATGAACTGGAGCAGGAGTTTCTGGGAAATCTGAAATACAGCCCTGTGGACTGATAATCTGGTAACTACCACTGCTTCACAAGCAGTAAATAACATCCTACCATTATCATGCACCTTTTGAAACTTTAAATCCAAATGTTGTGGAAAACAGTTGCCTGTTTATAGATTAGCACGTGTGTTGAATTCTATCTAACAGAACAGTGCTTGTGTTAAAGGCATACATCTTATAATTGGTCGCAACTTCTCTTTTTAACTACTGTGTTCACTTGGAATTTGAAAATAAATGGTAAATTGTTTGTATTTGTGTAGCACTTCATCAAGTCTAAGGACAACCAAAACACTTTTCGCTACATTTAGTCATTCACACCCATTCATACTCTAATACGAGTGTAGCTACAGCTGTGCAGCCAGGCCCTCTGACAACCATCAGCAGGCAATGGAGGTGAAGGGTTTTGCCCCCCAAGTACATAATGACTGAGACTGGCTGAGCTGGGGTTTGAATCAGTGACCAGCTGGCTATGCCACTCTTTGGTTAAACACATAATCTATCTATATCCTGCTTAGATTTTTGTCCATTGCTTCTTGTAGGCCGGAACTGTTTGTTGAGGGAAAATGTTCCTTTTTTGTTTGTTCTTTTCCAGAATATAATATATGACCTGTCCAGAAAAAAACTGTTGGATAGCCACCAAAGCTTTGGGCATATTTGGTTAACTGACCATCACTGAAACGATTCCAAACTTTGCCAAATAGAAATGTATGTATTTCTTTAATGTTTCTGTCTCTCTGTAGAACCTATAGCTTAAATAAAGGTATGATGGTTATTAAACAGGTGGACTCAAACATCGAACCTGTGTTAATTTTATAACAAATATAGACATACATTTAAGATGACAATCCTCAGAAATGATAAGAATGAATAATCCAGAGGTACTTCATGGGAAATAAGGTTATAAATCATAATTTTAATATGTGATTGTTTTTTTTTTTATTTGTTTCGGTGATTTACTTTAGTTTCATTCACAGCAAAACAGATCTAGGATCACCTTCACATCGGAACATAGACAATTAGCAGGTATTTTAATGGTCTCTGGAACATGGTGTGCTCCTCATCACCTGAAGGGGTGTAAGAGTTCCCTGACTGTACATGACACAAAAGCTCAGTGCTAAGATAATGGTGGTTTAACACCAAGGTGGCCACACATGAGTGAGGCATGTAGCAGCAGGAGCCATTTATCCCTCTCAGGTGACCAATGAAGACTTATGTTAATTTGTCATCCTTGAGAATTTGGAGGGCAAGTGGCCATCTGTTGTAATTTGATATAATACACTTTAGATTTATAACAGCTTATCACTTCTCTGGCTGCAGTCAAAAGGATCTTACGGAGCATCTCAATCAACCAATCCACACCCCCTTTACTGCAATGTCACAGCGACAAGATCATTCCTCATTTTCTCCCTCACAGAGATTGGCGTACAGAGCTTCAAGTGGAACAGGATCTGCACTGTGATGAAGCACTCCCCTCCTAATTGGATATTTGCCACAGTTAATATGTAACATTTAAATTATCCTAACTTCAAGGAAAAAATACATTTTGGGTTAAATAGGCTGAAAAGACGAGAATAAAGTGTAGGTGTTAACTACTATAACTTTAATTATAACATTAAGTTTGAGTCTAAAAACTAACTGTTACTTTCTAAGATTTCTGCTCATAGCGATCGGCAAAAGAATCAGATGTTAGATGTTTTAAATGCATGATTTCTTCTCATTATACTATTTATAGAACCCCTGGTACTGGCTTATCCACAGAGAGACTGGAACTGAGGGTCGAGGTCCACAAACCTTCCATAACATGAAAACTCACTAATCTGAGCTGGCTGGACAGTGGTGTCATCAGCTGTACTTACCATATTTATAGCAGCTGCTGCAACACTGGCTGTATGGCGTGTGGCTACTCAGTCCTAATATGGAAAATATGCCCAGTGACACATTGTGCTGAGCCACCTTCAGCCGTCTTAGCAATGATATGCAGTGGGGCAACAAGGATGCTATGTTTTATGGTCATGTTTTATGGAAGTTTGTCTTGACAGACAAGCCATTCTTCCTGCCTCAAAGTTATTGCACTCTCACTCTGCTGGCAGGAGTGTAGGTGTTCAGTGCGAAGGTAGGCAGTCTCTTTGGTTGGCTGGGGGACACCCCCCCCCACACACACACACAACAATTTTTTTCAGTACTTCAAAGTACTCAAACCAAAATGCAATACAGTATGTTACCTAATACAATAACAGAATAACAGACAGCATCCAACCTTGTCTGACATTGTAGTCTGTCTGTAGCCTGCAGTTGACTTGATCTTAAGTATCTAATTATCATTTGCACTGTTTTCAGAATGTGTGTATTTAAATACAGATTTTTAAAAGCACACATGGTCAGTTAATTAAATTGAGAATATAACTTTTGTAAGTTTAAAGCTTTTTTTTAAATAAATACTTAAAAATACTGTTAGGATTATTATCTTTGATGATGTGTGAGAGGAACGACTTAATTAATCAGATTAACTATTGTGGAAAACCGGTTCTGACAAGCAACAGGCAGCCAATACCAAGGTGTAATAAACTCACACATCATCAATGATAATTAGCCTAACAATATTTAAAATCTGACGTTTCAGACCTAAAACTTGACTTGACAGTTACTTGTCTTGACTTTAGATTAAACTCTGATTTGAATTTCTTTGGCTGAAACTTGGGACTCAGTATTTAAGGATAAAAATTAAGAGTTGAGAGCTCGCACACCTTAAAAAGAGAACAATCCTGTATCTATCAAAATACTTTTCTACTGACTTCAGGACCTACATTAAAAAGGTTTCTCATGCATATATGCCAATAAGAATGTAAATGTGTTTGAAAACCCGGTTTTCACTGCCTGTTACTCAGTCAGGGTAAAAGCCTCATTCAATTTCATTTTGAAAACTTGTAGAATACACAGCTCCTTTATTTAGATTTAGTAAGTAGTCAGATTTCCCAGTTTTTCCCAATTTAAATTATTTATAATTTGTAATTTCCACAGTTAGTTACTAGTTAAGTTTAAATGAGCATTAAATGTGAACTCTCTGACTTCTAATGTGTGTTTTAATGGTTTCACATTTGGTTTGATTGACTGGAGAAATACAATTCTCTAATCAGAAAAATCAAATTATAACCCAATAAAGCCTGTAAAAGTAAAATAGGTCTTGATATTTTGTGAACATCTAAGCTTTTATGTAGGTGTAGAGCTTTGTGAGTCAGTGAGCAATTTTAAGGCTTTGTGCCTTAAATGTCATCATCAGATGGTGTGACTTGAGGTCTGTGCTCTCATCCATTTTGTTTTAATGCCTGACTTCTCTGCTGATTTGGCACTTGAACTTCAAATAAATTTTTCTACAACTGATGAGAGCTTGCTTTTACTGTTGAAACATTACCACTTTAATTTTTTCATCATTTTTTTGTTTCTTAGAAATATAAGCTTCATAAATGCATTTAAAAATAAATGATCCGGATCACCTCTTGTAAATTCAGGAAGCACCACCAGCAACCCCAGAGTATAGAGGACGTAATCTGCTCAGGGAATATTAATAAACATCTTAAGGGAGAGCTGAAGCCTTCTTGTGATTTGCATTCAACAACATGTTTCAGATTTTTGTAGACTGTGTGGTGGTATAAAAGAAAAGGTTATTTTATATCTCAGACAAAAAATGTTTTTGTTGCATTGGGAGCTTTATATTAGGACTTTTCTCCACTCCTAAAATATTTTGTTTTTTGTGAACTTGCTGATCTTTGTTTAAGATGTCTAGACAGGGTCCTGTGAGACATGCTTGTTTGTTTTCTATAAGAGTGGTGTAAAAAGCACATGCTTTTCTGTATTTTCACAGCAAGACTTCTTTGAACGGCTGTATGTCATGTATACCACCGGCTATGCTGTGTCCTTCAGCTCTCTGCTAGTGGCCATCGTGATCATTGGATACTTCAGGTAAGAGAAGACTTGTTGTTCATATTTTTTTGTGTGCAAAAGAAGTATGTTAATCTCAAAAATGCTATTGGATGCATACAATCTTAGTTTTGTTGTAATAAGAAATCTAGTTTGTCGCACAGACTATATACAGTAACTTTGGATACAGATATTTGTGAAAAATAGCCAGTTTGAGGACTTTGGATACAATCACGTATTGCAAAAAAGCTCTTCACAAAAAAAATGGCCAACAGCTTTGAAAAGCTGTTGAAAACAGACAGAAAAAAGATGTGGGTTTACTCAAAGCTCTTAGATGTGTGAGCCAACTGGTTGAAATAAAAGCAGGTGAAAAAAATTAATAAATTGCCTGACATTTGAAACCTTTTGGGATTTGAAACTGTCAGTTCTTTTTTTTTTAACCGTGTGCCCCACTTGTTCTTAGCACATAAATGTACTGTAACCTTGCTTTAAAATCCAGTGAGAAGTCCTCCATCAATTTTAAAATCGTCTCCAAAGGTGGAGTATTTGAACGATGCCACAAGGGTGGGAAGTGAGACCGCTGGATTGGATCAAAGTGCCGTGTATTCCTAAATTCATACTTGTCCTCTATGTAGTGTTGATCATTTTCTTCTTAAACATCCTGACCGAGTCCAGTATACATTTCAAATTTTAATGATTCCACTTTTCCCAATGTAAACCTTTAATTCCTTCATAAAAAAAAAACTCTTGATTTTAAACTTCAATGGAGTCTTCCAAAGCTTCAAGCAAGCTGTAGAAATCAAGGAGCTCTTCAAGCAATCCCAAGGACAAAGCTGTGTAGCACGACGGGATTAAGTATGGTTATAAAACAATGTCTTCCGGCAATATTAAATCGGCCTTTTGAAAAGAGTTAGCACCACAACTGGAGAAATAAAATATATATAGTTGGGAATGGAATAAATAATTTACTGTCAGCTAATTCAGTAATGAAATAATCAATAGCTGGAAAATACTTACCCCTAAAACAGGATATTAGCTTAGAAAAAAACCCCTAAAAGAAGTAATACAGGCAAAAATTGTACAAAAAAATACATGCATCCGCATTTACAAAAAACTCTTTTAACTTTAAATTCCTTTTATCTAAAACTCCATCAGTTGCATAATTTACAGTAGCTTTACTCAATTAAAATTCTGTAAAGGATCTCATTTAAGAACCTTTTGTTGTGTGTTTTTTTTAATAGATTGTTTAAAGAAATTGTCAACATATTATTAAAATAATAGTTAAACATGTATTCCAGGACATATTTCATTACAATAATTTAAACATGTGTTTGAGCCATTTGTTCAGTGATTAAGCAGATCAGTTGTTTAAGTTAATTGGTCGATACAATCAGCTGGTTTTCCTTATATAGAATCCCTGGAGCCAATCTGACTGTATGACTTGATGGAATTGTAGCTGTGAAGTGCTTTGAAATGACATGTTCTGAATTGGCGCTATAAAGATAAACTGGATTGAAGTAAATCAAGATTTAACTGTATATTTGTAGGTTTTCTTCATGTCAAAAAAACTCCTAAATTAACAGATGGAGGATTTTTCTTTATCTGCAGTTCAAAAAAGCAAATGTATACATGTCTTATCTGCTAAATAATGATGTGGAAACACAGTCGGGGTGACTTGACTTTTCTTTTTTTTTTTGGCAATAAAAAAAGGTCAGTAAGTATTTCGTCTGTATCCGTTCCACAAATACTAGGTGCGTTTCAGTTGAGCTAGACCTGCGTAGATCTGTTTGGTGTTGGTCTGTGCACGGTGTACGCTGGCTAGACTTGCTCCAGTCTGCATCTCATGTCTGGAATACGTGAGCAACCAATACCTCAATAGATCAGAACAAGATCAGCCACTACCCTTGATCAAACCAACAGTGGTGGCCATGGACAAATTTTGATTTCAGAAATTGGGGGGGAAACAAGAATTTTTTAATATAACTTCAGGGTGTTTAACCATCCAATCACTGACCCGATTCAGTGATGGTCGGCCAGTCAGGAGCTTGTAGGTGGTCTAAACTCAGGTGAGCGGGCTTCAACTTGAGCTTGGTTTTCCGCTTGGTCTTAGTGCTTAACAAATGTGTGTGTACTGTTGTACAAGTTTGTTTTTGGACCGTAAAATGTGCAGGGGAGCAAAACAAAGTTTTTAAAAAAGTGAAGAGAACATGTCCCCCTATTCCCTCCCAAAATTACGTCCATGGTGGTGGCTGCAATGCATGGTGAATGATGGCAAAACGCCCTCCTGTCACTGGGTAACGGACTGTTGATTAGGTGTGTAAATAAAACAACCCCTACATATCCACCCAACCCTTTCAAATTGTCTGTTTTTTTTATTTTAAATATGCGTACTTTCCTACAACTTGAACAATTACTCAGTAGCATATTTCCAAGTATTTGTTTATAATTGGCCTCACGACCATTTTCAATGGAGGATGTTTCTTGTGAGGAATATAGCACTTATATAAATAACATGAAAAACAATTCACAAATAAAAAATATATGCAACTTTGAGTCTTGCCTTATCGGCAAGACTCGAAGTTGCCTTATTGAACCAGTTGGCTCAGTCTTGCCTTATTGTTCAATACCTTTGTGTTTTTACATATAGCCTCATTAATTGGCTTATTGCTGATTTTGCATATTAAAACAATTAATACATTGGATTTGTAGATATAACACAACTTACTGTGAGGCTCTTCATCAATACAGTACATTGACCAGTTCACAACAGACTTTTAACACAGCCTATCAGCACAGCCGTAAACAGACGAGGCGCTTTTCATCTCAAATGCACCTATCATTGCAGTGCGTTGTACGACATGTAGTGTGAGTATCATGCACACTAAACCAGGTTTCAGTTCCTAAATGATAGTTGTCCTGCAGCTATTCAACAGTGTTGAAAGTTTTTATTCTGACAGTTTTTCTTTTCAGTTATTCCATTGATCTATTAATAGACACTATCGCTAAATTCACATGCCTCCATAAACACGATTCAACTCAGGAAAAGAAGAAAAGTGTTTTTGCACATTTTACTTGCATTGTAAATGTTTAAAATGTAAACTCATAGGTGGTCAGAAATGCAACTTAAATTTTCAGCATAGAAAGATTTGTTTTTGTTTGACATAAATACCAAATGGGTCTACAGTTCGTACAGTTATGGCATTTTCAATGCTCTTTGTTGGTTGCTCTTTCAGCTACTGATATATTTTGAGTTTGTCTAGTCCAGATATAAATTAATTGTTTACCAAATTAGTTTATTATTTAAGAAAAAAACAATGGATTAATATTAATTTAGATTTAGTGGATAAATTGTTTCAGACCGAAATGATATTGTGTTGGGAACCAAATACATTGTGTCAGCTATTAAATCTGGCGTGCATATTACTGGAAGCCAGGGAAATGAATTGGTAAAAGTAAAAAAGTACCTACTTTAGACCTAAACCTCTTATGTGCATGAATGATTAAACCATACATACAATCCTAGAACAAAAACATGTCTGAACCTATTACATATTAGTACTTACTAAAGCAATAAAATGATAACCTTGTTCAATAATTTTGCTTAGATATGTTTCAAAGTTTTTTAAATGGTTAGAATTCCTATTTTAATTTGTTGCACAATTTTACGCACAAAGAAAATTTACTTCCGCTTGTCTGATTTATATCGTTAACTTTAACTAGCATTCAAAAACATGGATCACACTATAGACACACCCGCCCTACATCTTGTATATTTCTGTAAAATGGGTGAATTATTCTCCGCATATACTAAATTATTCAGCTGTCTAAGTTCCTATAAAGACAGCAACTCTATGAGAATCCATGTGCTTCAGACATATGGACATCATCTAAAGCTTTCCTTAAGCAGGAGTTTATTGGTCTGTTTTTATTTATTTGGTTGTTTATCATTTTTGATCCCCATATAGAAAGTGCCGCTGCTCAAGCCTTGAACATCTTAGACTCCTACATTAAAACAGAACACAAGCACTTTGAATAGAGATGTTTAAAGCTAATAAATGGCCTGCTCAGAAAAGAAAAAATATTTTGTTAGTGCAAGACCATGGCAAGTAAAAGGGTCCCTCAGTAAACGATATATCTTTGTTCTTCATGTCACATATTTGCTCAAATTTTAGGACGCTAGAATGCACAACTGTCAAGTGTCCTCTTCGCTTGGATCAATACTTAACCACAAATAGCACCCGTAAATGTAAAAGCAGATTAAAGTGAAAACAACAACAACATTTTGGTGTATAATATGGCAGGCAGGCTGAAGCCAGAACAGTGCAAGAAGAGTAAACCAGTCGTCACACAACTCCGTCCCTATACAGGCGGGTTAATTTGAAAATTTTTTCCTTGCAATGGTAAAGAGGTTTTTGACTTTGTTAATCTTGCATACATTCAGAGTCAGCTGCTTTAGATTCCAAAGAAATTACCTTTTCCTTGTGTAGAAAAGGACATAAATGATTTCCTAAAGAAGGTAAACTAGCACAGAAAAAATAAATCAGTAATGGCCTTGTAAGGTATAGAAAACACCACCAGAATAATTTCCCATTTTCCAATTTATCATCACCTCGAAAAGGTGTTTTTTTTTCGGGGAATTTGGTGCTGAACACCAACACAACTACACTTTTCAAATAGTATGTAATAGTAATTTTTCAAAATACCTTAATTGAATAATTGATTTAATGACAACCATGGCAAACAGAATTCAAAGGACCATATTTACTAAATAGAATCACCCTTCGTATAGTTTGTCCTCAGTTTACTAAATGCAGCAGTTCTGTGAAGGCCTTGGCTTTGATGGATCACATCAGATAAAAAAATGGCATCATGAAGACCTAGGAGCACTGCTGACAGCTAATGGAAAAGTTATGTAGAGTTTAAAGCAGAATTAGACTCAGAATCAATATCCCAAGTTTGTACACAGCTCAGCTTCTTTCCTTAATAAAAACAGTATGAGAAAATTATGATGGTCACATCCTATACTGACAGCCCAGGCAGGC